ATTTTTTTATTGCCATCCGCAGGGCCGGATCAACCTCTCAGGTGGCCTGGCTCCCTCATTATGTTGAATGGGTGGCCTTTCTTTGCATATCAGTGCCTTTCGTACCTAATTTTCTCCTGCAACACTTGATGTAATGCAACATTAAACAACTAGAGGTACATCGTACTGTGAGTGCACCAATACATGCAACAAACAGACCAGTCCCTAAACCCAAATTTCTTAATGTGTTTTTTTTGGATAGAAAAAGGGCTGAGGTGCGTTTTCGTTTGGGTGTCCTACGACTCATGTAATTTCAAGGTTGTTGGCTTATAGATCCTTTGTAATCCGTTATAACTGCTCACGCGCTATTGTTGTTTTCATCGACTATTTGAAAGCAAATAAATGGATTATAATTGTTTCTTTTTTCTCTCAATGAAGGGCAAATTAATACTGTAAAGGGAAGTTACTAAATTTAATGAATTTATGCAACATACGAAGGTTTACGATAATGACGCGATAGCAACTCATTGCAAAATTAGTGCACATTTGAAAAGCTTCTTTCTTAGCTATAAAAACCCACAGACGTCAGAAGAAAACCAGTTCATCTTGTGTTCTTTAGATAAATCTGAGCCATTACCACACACAGTGGATAGCAAAACAAATAATTTATTAGTTCGTACAACCGATCAAGAACATTACTTCCCAAAATAAAAGTCTCTATTCTAGGAGAATCTGAATGAACTATTTTGACTGCTTATGCTTACGCGATATGTCTAGAGACTCCTAAGACTTGTTCAAGCTGTATTACATTATGTGATCAAATCAAACATTACTGCCATACCATATTTCGCACGCGCGCTGGTTAGCAAATCACAATTAAAGATAACTGACTCACTCAAGCAGATTAAGCTTTCGACCATAGATTACACACGCGACAGAGAACAATACATACCTCCAAATTCTGATATTCTGTAATGCAAATTTGTTTTCTGGGCTCAATTCTTACAGTTACATAATACATATTACTGAACCAATGCTTGTGATCTATACTTATACTATAAAACTACTTATTTATAGAACTATGCTATGAGAATTGCTCATAAACAATTTAAAAAAGTACATAATTTGTATAAGGTTGATAAATACTAGTTCATAAAAGGAAGAAAATTGGATTTATAAAAGGAACTCAAGCTCTATATATGCCTTAAATGGAAACATTCAACCCCCGCATGTGCAACTGCGTCGATAAATTGCTGTTTGACATTTGGTAGCTATGGACAAGAGTACATATTCCTTTATTGTTTACCAAATACTTGTAGTTAGCCACACACTGTACATTACGGGCATTACAATAATACATTTCTTCAGTATGTAAACAAGAAGAAAAACAAAGTTAAACGAGCCGCATCAGTTGGCAGGAAAATCACGAAGTTTATTGATATGCTGAGCCCCAATAGGACAATTGCAAATAAAAGATTTGTTTTGCATTCATGATTAAATATGATTTATTAAAAGTAAACCTCTCACTACACCTCAGCAATCTGCAGTGAAGGCATAGCAAGACATGTTACTTAAGCTATTTTCCTCATACTCAAGTAGATATCTGGAGTTTTGTCTTGATTTACGTCATCTTTCCTATGTCTAATCGAATTTGATTAAGAAAACTTCCGTAAACATTTACGAGATTTATTTTTATACTCTTTACATATAATTTGTATGGACAAAAGTCACAAAAACTATACGGATTCAAAGTAATAATGCGGACGGAGCCCTATGTCAGGGGCACCCACACCCACGAAATTAAGACTTTCCCTTTAGCTGGAACCAAAGTCCAAAATGAGTAAAAATGTGCGAAATATTAAAAAAGGATTAAAAAAATTTGAAATCTCATCAATATACTCTTGTGTTGTATTCTTGACTTGCAATCATTCTTTTGAGATTTGCCAAACACTGTTGCTCGCCCACGCCGGCAGGTGCCAACAATAAAATATTCTTTTGTATCAGACCATCAATAAGGCTGAATTGCAAGTCAAGAATGGAGAATACACAAATACATTTAGTTAAATTTAAATTTAGTGTTTTACTTCAGATAACTGACATGAACAAAGAAATGTTATTTAATTGTTAGAATGGCACTGAAAGGACAAAGAATGGCATATTTTTGAGTGATTTAAAAATAGGAAAACCGGGAGAGTGAAGAGCTATAATTAAAATAAAATAAAATATTATCTGCTCTTTTAACGTCAATCGTAATGTGTTACGAAACAATAAACATCAAAACTTAAACACGCTTTAGTAAACGCATGTTATTCGTCTGAACCATACACCATAGCAAATGAGTGGTTTGAAAATTTGAATCTTTTTTTAAAATTGTTTGTTCAAAGAACTTATCATCACTTACGGTAACTTAGGTACGAAAATAGGGGAAGTACCATATATTTATGCATATAATAATTATGCAGCACATTTCTGAAAATATTTAAAAAGACATGTGAACCATACTGCAAAACTCATTTTTTCGGTGTTTTATAGATTTACACCAGTAATTAAGTAAGCAAGCTTTCTATTTTAACACAGAGCGCTTTTTTATTGAATTTTAGTAGATCAAAATACGCCAAATTTGGCTTGCATTTTTGTCACGCCATCGATATCTGACGTAATATACATACGAAATTGCAAGCATTGCATTTTGCACCATGAGAATAATAATAATGGCTGACAACCATTTGTCTTTTCGGTTTGTGTATGTCTTAATATGTCAATGATTTCAGACTTATTTCTGTTAAAATAACCTTCCATAAAATCACTTGTGTACAAAAAATGACGAAACTTATGACCTATTTCTCAAGCGTCTGTAATTTTATAATATTAAACTTCAAAAGAAACAATGTCAAAAGCATTATTATCATACTTGTATATAATCAATTGCTAAATCTCATTCGTCGTAAATGATCTTTCCATTCACTCCATTTATGGCAATGTGGTCGATGTCTCACTTAAGTATCACTACAAAATTTTAGCTTATGCAAAATTTTATAGGCTGCCTTCGTTTGAAAACATTTTTCATTCTGCATGCCAAGCATAATTCAGTTCTTAAAGATCTAAGCGGGAATAATATAAACCTGAACACACATATAACTTATAACTAGAAGTTACTAACGCAAGGGGATAGGAACTTCTGGTTATAAATTATGAGTTTGCTTTCTATCTATTAATGGTCACCATTTTGTAAACAAATAATCGTTTACAGAATTACCAGTACCACATTTTCCCAAGGATAGTTTATTTTCCATATTATTTTCGTTCTTACTTCAGCGTAAGTTTCCCGTTGATTTGCAAAAATTATCTAATTAAGCGCAGTAGCTGTTTTTCTTTTTTCCACAGAAAAAATGTTGTATTCAGTTAAGGTTTTACTCAAAGGCACAATAAATATATTGTACATCGTAAGGTCCATATCATTTTTTAAACTTAAACCAAGGAATAACATAAGAATTACAGAGAATTGTCCAAATTTTTTGACCAAACGGATAAAATCAATAATGTTACTATAAACTCAATGTTATTTACCTTCGGTTCTTTTAAATGAATGTTCAAAGTTTTATTTTTGTGTAGCACTGTGCTTACTTTTGAGTAATACAGGGCAAATCGTGTGAATTATTCAAAGCACAGCATTAGAATGTTGTCAAAATCCCAGCAGCGTAAATGGACGCTGCCATTCCTGCTATGCAAAATATAAAGTCGCAGTTTTTTGATACACTGAATGTACATCTATAATTGATTAAATTTTCAACAGGGTTTTTATGACTAACTTAGTAGGGTGTCACACCACAGCTAGCAACCATCAGCATCAGTTATGCTCTAGATATTCTTTGATGGAGATTGGAAAACTTCGTCTCTTCGTCATTGTGTTTATGATAAATTGATAAACCTTCTATTGCCATATATGGTCACAAAATGTTCCAACAAAAAGATTCTGTTACATAAATGTGAGCAAGCAAACTGGAGGAAGTTGCTCACAGCAACAAAACAAGCATTAAGTTCCCACTCTGCGACCTGAGACAGAAACCCGCACATTTATAGAACTCAAAGGTACAAGATTGTAGCTCCAAGCATGACGAAAAACATTCGAAATGAAAAAAATGATCCCTTTTATTTCAGTTTAAACCATTGGACAAGATGAATCCACTGTTTCAAAGAAGAATTTAGATCCTGAATCAAAAGTGCCAAGGCCAAAGTGGAGGGCTGAAATAATCAAAACTTAGTCACATGTCGTGTATCCTAAATCAAAAATACCCAACTTTTACATATATAAATAAATTTAATTACTTTTTTCTTTGTTTTCAAAGAGAAAAGCAAAGAAGAAAGCACATTTAAATTATATAAGCTCTTACAGTTTATCTTACCTCTCTGACAGATAAAAGACGTGGTATAATTGCATGGGACGTCATTCCACTGGCTATTGGAATAACAATAATGTACACAATCCTCTACACCAAAACGATTATTTGGTTCATTACGATGCCAATTTGTGAAATTAGGTTTGGTATTCTGGATTGTGTAAAACATATTGTCACTTTTTTTGCGAAACAAGCCAATATAAGGATGAGTAAGCCCTTCTCTTTCCGAAATTTGGAATGTTAATCAAGACTGCACGGCACTGTTCAAAGATAATCTGATGCATTTCATAAGACACACTGAAGCTTAAGAAGGTCAATTAAATGCTTTATGAGTTGTAATATAAAAAGATTTAGAATAGTCCACTCTTCAAACTAGAAACGTTTAATTAATACATCACAATATCTCATATAAACTACCCGTAGTACCATTGGAGATAAAGTAAAATGCAAAGAGACAAAGTTGAGGAAAAATACTGCAAATTGAAATCTGGTGCTGCTTTTTTCGTACGCAACCCATTGTATCCTAAGCAAATCATTGCATATCGAACAACTCGTTGCAAACCAAAATTTCTGTTGAACACTCAACACAACTAGCATTATGTCCTTGATATAAATTCGTCACGGAAATGAGTTTGGAGCAGGCAAGTTAAGATACATGGAGAAAAAGTTTTCTGTAAATTAATAAAAAAATACCTTACTAAACTAGAAATTATACGCCCATGATGCTAGCTAAAAATTAATATTGAAAATGATAAAAAATGAAGGACATAAACTCTGTGCGCTCTTTTAGTAACTTAGTTTCAAATTGGCGAATGTTAAAAATCTTTCGTCCATCAAAGTAAATGCTCTGTTTTGCAACCACTCTCTGGATCTATCCCTACTCATCTCCAACCTTTCTAGTCAATAATCATTTTTATAAACAATGCATCATCTTTAATGTACTGGCGATTTTTTAAACTTTCCAATGGCATAAAAAGAGGTGATCCAGAGGCGATATTCATATCTGACTTTGGTCGCTGAAACGAGGAACTTTGAGGATCTGAATGAAAAGCATCAATCATGTGATCACCATTTTCACGATCGATTAACATCATCGTGATCTTTTTTTGAAATGGCCATGCTTGAAGTGCATCGTAATCACCTAAGATTATTAATATACAATTACATACGATTGTTGGCAGTACACTATTCGGCATAGTGCGTAAGTTGAATTCTCACGTAATTTCTGAGAATTTCAAAATTTCCCTTCTTAAAGTAAATGAGGACTCCCTCCCTCATTTTGTACAGAACGCCAAGTCTGGTTGCAATAAGACTTTTTATAATTCAAGAATAAAGGAAATAACGAGGGAGTCTTCGACTCGATCAAAAAAGGAAATTTCCATTATGAATTCTACACAATACTAATGATGCTAGTATTTTAAGTTTATTATGTCTTGACTTTAAATATTCAAGTCCAAATTCAATAAAAAAAAGCATTGAATAAATTCCATTCTGTCAAAAAATAGTTCTTCGATTGAGATTATCTCAATTCACATTCCCAGATAAATTTAATTTTAACCTTAAACATGTCATCATAATTATTGAGTTCACTCTTATTATATCATAGCGCATTTATAGAAAGTCTACTTTTGACTAAATCATAATGTCCAGAAAAAGAAAATAAACCAGCAATATATATACATCCGTTACTTTCAAAGCATCAAAAATAAAACATAGGAATATGTTTATACCTTTCATGACAACAAAGAACAAAGCTAAATGAGTTCCTTTTCCAAAACCATCACCATTCATATAGATCTTACCACACATCTTGTAACCATTTTCAGAACTGTAGAATGGTGGACTGTACAAGGCTGTTTTGATACCATTAATGGCGTCCTGTCTCTTTCGATTGAAGTTATCAATTTTCCACAGTAACGTACCATTGTAGCTGTGTATGGAATGATTCGACCCAAGTGTACGCGAACCACGTTGAGATTCAAGGTCCGTAATCTTAACTGTGTTTCTCGCAAGTGATTCGTCATTTTGATCTAAGCGCTCACGAAATCGTATTATAGTTGAGGAATTGTCTCGTAATTGCTGCTCGAGAGTCGAGATTCTATCACGCATCAAGGAAATCTCTGAGGACATCTGGGGGTTACTATCGCTACCACCACGACTATCGATGCTCTCAATCCTCCTTTCAAGACCTGTAAGTTTACCCACTAACATCACAAATTTCTCTGAAAGATTTGCACGAACAGCAGTAGCTTGATCACCCATGTTTAGAGCAGCAGTAGTAAACTCTGGACGTGGTATATAGTTACTTAACTGTGTAACAAATGCCATAACATATCGTAACAAGAGGCTCACATGATCAATTAAATTTTCATTCATATGTTGACGGATCTCTCTTCGTTTTATGGTCTGTGGAAAGAAAGACACAAAAATTGTGCCACATTCAATAACCAAACCGTCGTCAAGAAGACGTTTATTGGATACCATTTACTTTTCATTTCATTACATAGTTTGAATCTAACTTTGATGAAGACCTCATACCAAATTATAAAATATATTAGCCTATACTATGCAAAACTTTTGACGTGAATTTTGTTCAATTTAAAGATTGTTCAACCGTGTCGTTGCTGACTTGAAAATGTAAAACAAATCATATATTCTTACTTGATCATGGTTACATCCAATGTCATGAAATTCACATTTAGTTGGCACTTCATCACAAGTTGTTTCTTCATGTTGTTTACTATCTTTCCTTGGTATCTTCTTCTGACAAAATTTACAAACCACGGGTGCATTTTCACAAACATTGTCTATGTGGTCCTATATGTAAAATGAATGTAAAAAGCAACGACAATTAGAAAATAGACAACTTGAAAGATGGCAAAAAAGAATTAGTGCCATCTGACAGGCTGAAGCAATGTCGACGCATGTATATGAAAGAAAAGGTTACATTCTATACACATTATATAGACTCATGTATATGAAAAGGATAAATTTTCATTTCATTCTTTTAAGTACAAGTGCGATGTAAATATAATTTTTTAAATCTCACTGTGTTTCATTAATCTATGCTGAAATATTCCTCGTACCTTAAGTGAAGCATACGGGACATCTTTACCACAATATTCACATTTCACATTTCGATAATGACATTTATTCTTCAAATGTTCGTCGAGAAGAGAGCGAGGTAACTGAATGTTACACTGCTTATGTACACAGTTGATGAGCGCATGCTCACAAACTTGAGAATGACTCTGACGAAAAATAAAAACTTAATAAGTAGTTATGCAGCACTTTCATGGTAACTTTCTGAACTCACTTCCAATTCCTGATAGCTGCCAAACCATTTGCACTGTTCGTAGGGACAATGTAAACGAATCTTTTTCAACTCACGCTTTGTAAAAGTATCCGGGAAAATCTATATAGATTCAGTTGATGTTTAAGGCTGTTAAAGTGCTTACATCAGAGTCAGGGAAATATAACTTTTTAAATTGTTAAATCGATTTTAGGAACATTTGCAGTATGTTCGATAGGCCGAAAATTTTATCTTGAATGGTTATGTTGATCATAGAAGTACATGACTCAGCACCGGAAGTGACGAATTTAGGAGAACACACTTGCATCGTAAAGTGGAAAGTTGTATCCGTGTCAAGTCATTTCTCGGAACTTGATATACGCGCTTTAACGGTTGGTGTAACAATTACTGATCAGTTGACGAAACAGACGTTGAGAATTTTTGTTTTATGTAATAATACCAAATTTTTCGTGCAAGGCTTTCTCAATCAGTGATTGATATATTGCGGTATGGACATTTTCTGTCAGAACTTCACCTACCTCATTTCTGCACAATTTTTCTTGATCTTTAGGACATTTCGGATCAGGATTTCTACAGATTGTAAAAACTTTAAAAAAGATGCGATGAACGTGGAATAAAGGTCATTCTAAGGCACGCAAATCACAATGTTCAGAGCAAGACTGTTTTATCTTAACGTCAATGATAAGCATGAATTTAGGATCCTCAAACATTCTTCTCTTGCATTAAAAGTATAACATAATGAAAACAAGCAATAAGCAGATGCGTAGAACCTATTCGGATGGGTGCAACTAAGATGGAATGTCATCTTGGGTTAAAAATGCAATATCTAGATCGTTGGAATCATGCAGTGGAATATGGGATACCACAATTTGAAATGGAATATCATATTATTACGTTGGATTATGCAATACTAAATTTAAATGCGACATGTTTTAAAGACAAATTATCACATTGGAAAAACGTAAGATATTTAACTACCATATTCAATATTGTTATACGTTTTAATAACATCAATCGATTCAGTTACAACAGTCACAATTTAAGGTTAAAATTTCAACAATAAATTACCCAAGCAGGATCTCTATACAAGATTCACAAAACAAATGTCCACACATGGTCTGCATTGGACTGAAGAGGAGTAGATGACAGTGGGTACAAATATACTTTGCATGGAGAGTTTCCTTGTCTTCATTGCGTATCTTTGTTCCCGGCATATTGAATGATGGCAAATCCTTAACACTACAATGAAAATTTTGTCAAAATTAATATGGTCTCACACAATTGCAGAAATATTGGAGTGTAAAAAAACAACAATAATCTCAAATTTAGCTGACTGAGCACAAGCAGGCTGCAGCTCATGCATGTTGATATAAGTTGAGTTGGAATAAAGGCTTTCTTGTTGCACTGCATTATATGCTTCATCACTTTTTTATTATAACACACCATTCATGATCTCAAATCAGATCCAATTTTCCATTATGATAACCATCCATTATGACAAGTATAGGGAACAGACAGAATTTAAAATCAGTAGTATATCATATGATAAGCTTTTGATAAAATAGGGGGTTCTTCACTTCTTTCTAATATGTTTGCGCACTGAGAAGCCGGTCTAAAATAACTGAAATTGTCTATTTTCCACGCTAATCACCCTTCTAAACACAGTTTTGACAGTGTCAATTTACATTCCAATGTTTCTACATGTACAAATCGCATTTCACCAGCAAAATTGGGTGAAATGAATATGACATAATTATAGCTAATGGCGTACAACAATTAGCAATTCTAACACAATCTCCCGAATGAAAAACAATTAAACTCGCGCGAGTAATTTTCTGAAATGTACAGTTTTATGCCGAATAAATGTAAATGATACAAATGAGTAGAGGGTCTTTTCAAATAGTTGTACTCGTAGTTTCATTCCAGGTACATGGCAAACAGAGCCATTCCACAAGTTTAGAAAGAGGCGAGTATTTGTTCATCTTTCGAAGGTATTGTTTGTAAATGATGATCGTCCAGGTTGGTAAAGTCCTGAGAAGGACTGTTTTTGTTGTTGTTGACTGACGACGTTTCGACAACCTTAGCGGTAGTCATCTTCAGAGTCAAATGAGGAGTAAACGTCAGGTTAGCCGTATTTGTTATCTGGTTCTTACGTCATTGTATTGTGTGTACAGGAAATGTGTATTGTCATTGTGGATTAGTGTGAAGTGAAATATTTTATTTTTAGTTGTGATGTGTGATTTAGGTGTGATGTTTTTAGTTGTAATATGTGGGTGTCAATTGTGTATTGTCATTGTGAATTAGTGTGAAGTGTAATGTTTGTAGTTGATCGTTTGTTTGTATTGTAAATAAGTCGTTTGTAAGGTGCCGGTAATTGCTGTGATCTGTTCAGGAGGGTTTGTTCCAAGTTGGTATATTAACTTTCTAATGTAAGCCGTTGCCTATAGTCAGTACTGTAAGTGATGAGTCATTTGCCGAGTCCCAGTCAATGTTGTGCTTTGTGATTCTGTGATGTTCGGCAATGTGATTAGTTTTGTCTTGTTTCTTAGTAGCTCGTTTGTGTTCAGTAAGTCTTATGTTTAAGTTCTTGCCAGTTTCCCCGATATAGGAGGCGCGGCAGTCAGAGCAGTTTATTTTGTAAACTGCACCTTGTCGTTCGTTGGGTTGTTCTTTGTCCTTTATGTTCGTTAGTACTTGTCGTAACGTTGTGATTGGTTTATGTGCAACACGTATGTTGTATGGTCGTAAGATACGCGAGATAGTCTCAGACGTACCTTTGGGTTCGTTGGGTTTGTAAGTGTTGCGTTTGATAAAGTCAGAGTTATAGTTGTTTTTGTCAAAAACACGTTTGAGATAGTTGTTTTCGTTTTGTAGAGCGTCCGGTGATTCACATATGATTTGTGCGCGTCTTGTTAATGTTCTGATTGTGGTGGCTTTGTGTGATGTAGTGTTGTAAGATGATTGGTCTAGTAGTCGGTCAGTATGTGGTAGCTTGCGAAAAACTATTGTTCGTAGTTTTTGATTGTCATGTTTTAACAAACACTCGAGAAAAGGAAGAGTTCCGTTTTCTTCGACATCTTTGGTAAATTGTATGTGGCTGCTCTGTTTGTTGATGTGAGTATGGAAGTCATCAATCTCGTCTGCATGTAGTGCTGTGATTGTGTCATCTACTTAGCGAAACCAAAAAGGTAGTGCATGTTTGTAAGTCATGAGCGACCGTTCCTCTATAGGTTGCATTACAATTTCAGCAACTACAACAGAAACGGGCGAGCCCATTACATGGGACAGCAATCACTTTTGCTATCATTTGATCGATAAACCCACATATATAATTTGAAAGAACCTCTAATGGTTCGTCAAGTTGCCGTCAGGATGCGTTCGCAAACAAAGAGCAAACCATGAACATTGAACAATGAGCTGTGCGAACAAGCACACAGAAAAAATACGAAAGGTCTTGATTTTTGTGGGCAAGCTGGGGTCTCCAAAAATAGTTAATGTAGCTCGTGTAACTGATTCGCTAGTCTTCTTGATGAGAGCAGTTTAACATCTGCAACCTATCATGTCGAATAAATTTTCGCATGCATAGTCCAGTTGATGGTCAGTATTAGTAACTTTGGAGTCTATCACTGGCATCGCAATTTGTCAATGAGATCTTCCAGCTTTTTTCAATAACGCTTAAAACTTTTTCCGTGTCGTCCGTTTGCACCATGTTCAGACATTCGTCTTCTTTAGAATTTTTTAACGCGCTTTCCTAAAAGATTTCGACCACGAAGCTCTTACCCTTGCTGCTACAACTGCTGAAATTGCTGCTTTAAATTGCAACCATGTTTGAGGATGTATAATCATATATTCGGTTGTACCAGACTCATTTCTTTTGAAAGTGGACTGGCTTTGTAAAAAATTATGGGGGACAATTGAATGTATGAATATAGACACATAATTAACGTAAACTTCATATTTAACTGGGACAGTCGTTGCATAGTATTACCAGAAAACAAGACGCTAAATTGAAAAACGCACTTCTCATTTTGAATTGAAAAGGATAAGTTATTCATATGGTATTTATATTTTTTCATTGTCATCCGCAGGGCCGGATCAACCTCTCAGGTGGCCTGGCTCCCTCATTATGTTGAATGGGTGGCCTTTCTTCGCATATCAGTGCCTTTCGTACCTAATTTCCTCCTGTAACACTTGATGTAATACAACATTAAACAACTAGAGGTACATCGTACTGTGAGTGCACCTATACATGCAACAAACAGACCAGTCCCTAAGCCCAAATTTCTCAATGTGTTTTTTTTTGGATAGAAAAATGGCTGAGGTGCGTTTTCGTTTGGGTGTCCTACGACTCTTGTAATTTCAAGGTTGTTGGCCTATAGGTCCTTTGTAATCCGTTATAACTGCTCACGCGCTATTGTTGTTTTCATCGACTATTTGAAAGCAAATAAATGGATTAAAATTGTTCCCTTTTTCTCTCAATGAAGGGCAAATTAATACTGTAAAGGGCAGTTACTAAATTTAATGAATTTATGCAACATACGAAGGTTTACGATAATGGCGCAAAAGCAACTCGTTGCAAAATTAGTGCACATTTGAAAAGCTTCTTTCTTAGCTATAAAAACCCACAGATGTCAGAAGAAAACTGGTTTATCTTGTGTTCTTTAGATAAATCTGAGCCATTACCACACACAGTGTATAGCAAAACAAATAGTTTATTAGTTCGTACAACTAATTATTACTTCCCAAAATCAAAGTCTCTATTCTAGGAGAATATGAATGAACAATTTTGACTGCTTCTGCTTACGCGATATGTCTAGAGACTCCTAAGACTTGTTCAAGCTGTATTACTTTATGTGATCAAATCAAACATTATTGCCATACCGTCATTCGAACACGCGCTGGTAACAAATCTCAATTCAAGATAAATGACTCACTCAAACAGATTGATCTTTTGACCATATATCAGAGAACAATACATACTTCCAAATTCTGATTTTTTGCAAAGCAAATTTGTTTTCTGCGCTTAATACTTACAGTTCCATAATACATATTGCTGTACCAATGCTTCTAATTTATTCTTATTTAACAAAACAACTTATTTATAGGACTATGCTATGACAATTGCTCGTAAACTATTTAAAAAAGTATATAATTTTTACAAGGTTGATAAATACTAGTTCATAAAAGGAAGAAAATAACAGGAAATCAAAGTCTATGCCTTAAATGGAAACATTCAACCCCCGCAATGAGCAACTGCGTCGATAACTTGCTGTTTGACTTTTGGTAGGTATGGACATGGGTACATATTCCTTTATTGTTTACCAAATACCTGTAGTTAGCCACACAGCGTACATTACGGGCATTACAATAATCCATTTCTTCAGTATGTAAACAAGAAGAAAAACAAAGTTAAACGAGCCGCATCAGTAGCCAGGAAAATCAGAAAGTTTATTGATATGCTGAGCTCCATTAGGACAATTGCATATAAAAGTCTTTGTTTTGCATCCATGATTAAATGTGATTTATTAAAAGTAAACCTCTCACTACACCTCAGCAATCTGCAGT